AAAATATCAATTTCTGCTCACAAAGATGTTTTTGTCGTTTGGAACGAAGTCTCGGTGTTGGAGAAACATTTCTCTAAAATGAGAAACAATCACATTTAAAACTTCACATTTTAACAGAGAATATCTTTAAAGGTTTGGAGCAGGCACAGTTTTCCATAAAAGGGTCTCTTTGAATGATTATGGTTTGGAAAACTGATTAGCACAAATAATTCATATGATTTGCACTACAAGTTTTTATGTAAAATATTCATGCGGCAAAATGCATTCATAACTTTACTGAGAAAATAATCGTTCTTCTAGATGCATAGAGATGAATGCATTTTCCATTCCTTAAAGGGCTGTTGCTCCTAATGAAAAATATTCCAACATGTTTTTTTGTTGTTGCTTTTTTGTTTTCTCCAATTAATCTTAACACTTTATTTAGAAATAAAAGTTTTATTCCATTTAATTTTAAATAAAAATGATGTCAGCAAGTAGGTTTCAAGATTTTAAAGGTAAAACATATATGAAATTAGTTTGACATCCAGTTGGGCGGAAACTGTTGCAATGACCTGCTATTGGTGGCAACCCAGGGCGGGGCTATTAGTGTGCACACCTGAAGTGCTTTGCCTCACATTGCTGAATGCATAAATGACACCTAGGAAAGCAGCTGCTATTTTCCTGCAAGTTGTGTAAAAGACTCGTGCTGAAAACTAGCTGCAGAGAATTGAGGGCCCATGTCAAAAAAGATAAAGAGATGCAGTCGGTAAGAAATCTGAATTTTATAGGATCTTACTGCTACTGCTCTTTAATTACGTGTAATTTTAGGGGAGTCCTCCTCATTTGATTTATGCTCCTTAATTTGAAAATGGCTGCAGTGGTGTAAATAATTATGGAAATGTACATCCATGTTGAGCTTTATCAGGTTGTGTTGTATGGTACTTAAGATTAAATGTCTGAGCAAGGAGCAATATTGTGGTACATTTTGTAAAACTGTCATGTGTAAAAGATTATATTGATTCAATTATTTTGATTTCATTTATAGTTTGTGTGTCCTGAATATTATATGTTCACTAACAAACATAACTGTCTTTCTGTCCTAAGGTTTTTACCTGACTGTTGTTAAGACTGACCACAAAATGGGGAAATAAAAAGAATGGGAAAAGTCTCAACTGCTTTGTCTGAGTAAATCCAGCTATACTCTTAAAGTCATGGGTCCAGCCCTTTTAAGTGTGGGGTGCAGTTACTGAAACGCTTCACAGAAACAATTAGGCTGCACAATGAAATAATCGTCAACTAATTTAGAGTGTAGAAACTCTAAAATATGCCTTTAGCCGACAGAGGAACCCACTGAGAGCAGTAATTATACCATAACTGTAAAAAAGAAATATGTAAAAACTCTTCAACTGTCAATTTGGTCTGTGCAGAACTCCTCAAGTGGAAAAGTTTTAGTTTCACCTGGTTTAATTTCATAAAAAGTATTCACTAAGGAAACTTTTGCTATCCTATTATTTATCGGTTAATTGAAAAATAATCAACAGATTAATTGATTTAAATATAATCTTTAGTTGCAGCCCTAACATCCAGTGTGACCAAAATAATCAAAAAACTTACTTTTATGAATTATTATGAATACTTAAATATTACAAAAACTCAATTGCAAATTAAAAAAAAAGGTAATTAGTTGTATCAGGAGTGCAACTCTGAATAAATGATCTATTCTATAATCATTTTGAGTTGTTTTTATGTAATATTAAGAGCTTTTCTGCTTATCATATTTATTTTGATGATAAAACTGCAGAAATAAATAAGTCTGCACATTAAAACATGCACATTTAATTGTTTTAAAATTTTTAGCATTCACTGAGCTCAGGAAAAAGGTGTCACATATAATTCATTAACAAATATAAAAAAAAACTACAAAAGATATGTGTAAAAAAAAATATGTGCAGTGAGCTGCACAATGGCAGGGATGGGATGGGTTAAATGCAGAGTTAATTTTGTTGCTCTGTACTTGTGACAGTGTAATGACAATGAAACACTGGTGAAAAAAAAAAATAATAATAATAAAAAAAAAAAAGGGGAATTAATCCTGCATCCAGACGGTTGCTGGTTTAAACAACGGTTCCATCGGTCTAAGGTTAAGCCCGCATTGTCCATTGATGGTGCACAGAGCGCGAGCCCGATGGCAGCTGTGGCTATTATGTAGCATAGCACCATCAGCGCATGAATGTTTTTGAAGCATTTTGAAGTCCTCTGAATTGAAAAGGCGCTTTATAAGTGCAGGCCATTTATCATTTCCCAGCCGAACCGATGAATCACTGCCTCACCTGAGGCCTGAACAGAAATGTAAACCTGACCCCAACAGCGTCTAAATCAGAATGGAAAAGGCCCAATTTTGCCCAAACTACAGAGATATATCATTTTTTGTATTATGGAATAATTCAGGCAATAACATCAAACAGCCTCTCAGGAACCTGTTCCTTGAGAGGAAATGCTGGTAAGTGATCAATATTTATGGCGAAGAAGTGAGACCTCATTATGCTGAAGGTCATGACAGGATGTGGATTTAAAGCAGGGGAAGATGAACTTAACTCTTGAACATTTGTGGCAGAGCAGAAACATTTGTCTTTCTGTATGACACCCTCGGAAGGCAACATGTCATTCCCACTTAGATCCTTTTAAAAAAGTTTGAAATTCAAGGGGAAAATTCGTTAAATCGCTCCTGCGACTTTCAGCATCTACAAAGTGAAATCAGTCATTAAAATGCAAAAATAAAAAAGGTGCTAGGAAATACTGATTTATGCGACCAAAGGGACTTTGAACAGAGCAGATAGAGACTGTATCTGGGCAAGTAGTGAGGTGCATTAATGATGAGCTGATCACCTGCTTTTTACAGTTTTCATGAGAGCAGAAATCTCTTAAAGCCAATGGGTAATGAGTGAGCCAGGCAGGCTGGATTTGTGCTTGCTTCACTTTGCTTCTATTCTCATTCTTGTAGTCATGAAAGACATCATATCTAATCAAAGGACAATGAAGGATCAAAACCCATAGAAAAATAGTGAAATAGAAGGTGGATTTAATAGAATATCATTAATATTTATCAGAAAACCAGCTCTGTGCATCTTGCAAGCTTCTCGTTCTCTGATAGTTTTTCTAGTTTTTGATGAAGATCAGGATAACCTGAGCTGACATGTCATGGAGGCAACCAATAAAACTCTAAAATCCAATCCAGGTTGGTCCACAATGACTGGGTATATGGTGCTCAGATTGAAAGAAGCATGAGGCAATAAAACAATTGAGTATTCATGAATTTAGTCAGGCTGAGATCAGCTGATGACAGACTTCCATAAACTTTGAAAGTAACTCAGTAGGTCTGGCAGATGAAGACAGATATTACATTGCTGATAAGAAAGTGTCTATAAGTGCACCAGGTTTAGGCAAACCAATGGAACTGAAACATAATAAAAAGTAATATGATGTTACATATTAGGCAGTGCACAGGGATCGATGTTAACCATCGCTGGATCTCCCGGGGCAATTGGTTTTTATTGATGGGAGAATATAAATTTCATTGCATTTGCCCGCCGGGCAAGTGCAATGATCGCAAATAAAATCACGACATTCGATGAAAACGACCCAGAAGCGCTGCCGGCGCCATTTTTGTTGTTTTGTACACATTCTCGCGTGATTTGAAAAAGCCTGGTGATTTTCTGCCAGATGGCGTGATTTTTGTCCACCTAGCGGTAATTTTGATGTAGTTGCCAAAATGACAAATGGCTGCATTTATTTTGTCAGGGAAACTTAATCCTGAGTCAGTTAAAAATCAGAGAATTCTGAAATTATATAAGACTGTGGAAACCCTGTATAAAATAACTATGTATAATGATTCTCTAGAAAAGTTACATTATATTAATAGTATTATCTGACTCTAAAACAGAAGTTATTCATTTGTGACATTGACTTCTGTCTTGTGATTTATCTTAAGTTTTTAACCTGTCAAGTTTTTTTTAGATTTTTAACATTACAATTTATATTTTTCCAAGCACACAACAGTTTAAAGCAAAGTTTAGTTTGAAAAGAATTTGCAGGAAGGATTGAAAAGCATGTTAACAAGGTAATGTAGGCTTGAGTTGCATGCATATACACACCAGGAACATGTAAACTTAAAAAATACTGAATTACAAAAAACATTTAAAAAAACAAACATGTTTCATTGATATATATACAAAAATGAATATTAGGAACTATATTTATCAAAAATTATACTGGGCAAGTAAAAATTGTTTATGGGCAAATGAAATGTGAAAGCCACTTGCCCAAAGGGCAAGTAGTAAAAATCCTTAACATCAACCCCTGAGTGGACTAGATCATATGATGCCTTCTTTGTCATCCCTGACCCCAAATATGAAAATACCAAGGCTGTTCGTGTGTCTCTATTAGCTGATGCAACCATGTCATGCTAAAAAGGAAAACCCAACACTGACAGCTGCTGCGTTTCTGATGCAACCAATGTGCTTTATCTCCAGCTTCCATCAGTATGGTCCTTTGAATGACACATCGCAGTGCATTTACATCAGGCCACCAACTATATCAACCAAACCTCATTTTTCTTGAACATCTTCCACCTTTTTTTTTTTTTTCCTGACGTTTCCTCTACAGGGATGATCACCCTGCATCATTGCAGATGGTGTCGGGCTACATTTTTCATCACAGCTGAATATTCCTCATCAGCTGAATACTGAGCAGCAGCTTGGAGGAATAGCTACTCTGTGCCCAGCATGTGTGACAGCGTGCCTAGGCAATGATTGGCAAATACAGAAATAACACTAAATAAATAAAACATCCCCTGCATGGTCAAAGTGGGAAAAAAATGTGTTTTATACAATTCTGAGGCATATTTGAGTCTTACCAGCAAAAATCTATGAAAACAATAGATAGGATAATAGAATGCACAGTTCATCTACAGGAGGAGGAAATTATTGAAACATATTCATGGAGGCAACAAGTGAGAAATTTACCATCTCAGCGCAATTTTGATAGGCGTGGTGAGACAGGAGGTGAAGAGGTCAGCGGGGAGGTCCGGGTTCATGGGAAGCAGCTCGTTGGCCTCACATGCAGCCAGCTGGATGCAGTTCTTCATTGAGGGCGGAAGCGGCATCTGTGCAAGCGGGTGGCTGGGATTTATAGCTGCAACCTGAACAGACATACAACAAGAAAGAAGCTAGAATGAAACTTCATTTGACGACCAGAAGAAAGAATGTAAATATGCACTCAGAGCAGGTTTCACATTACTAAATATGGCAGCTAAGCCAACCCACAAGGGAGTCTGGCTTTCAGCTCTGAAACAGCATTTTATTGCAGTTACTTCACTGCATGACCTGTTCTCTCAGGAAATAAACTACATTGAGGGCAAGGAGCTGTTGTACTGACACTGGGATTTAAAACAAACAAATCCAGCTCTCATCTGTCTGAGTAAAAAGCAGCAAACGGCGTCTTTAATATTTCATTTTGATCCTCTAGTGTCGGAAAGCCTGACTTAACTTGTTAGTGTAAAACCAGTGACCTACAAAGGAAAAACACATTTAAGGCCTAAAACAAAACAATATGATGTGGTAACACAGCTGGAGATATAATTCACACGTTCACAGAGGACTCAGCCGCTTCTTCACCTTTATTTTGGTATTTTCTTTAAAATGACAAGGAAATTATGGTTGAATTTTATTCGTTTTCCAAGGATCTTCAAAGTGTACACAGAATAAATATA